ATGTACCATCAGTTGACAGTATTTCTCTCTAGTCATTTTAGCTTTTTTTTTTTTTTTTTTTTAAAAAAACCAACAACACTCAGGCATATGTAATAATTTGAACCACCAAAGGACACATTCTGCAAGTCTGCCTCCATCCACCAGCTGTCAGTCCCTCTCTTTCCATGAATCTAGAGTCCTCAGCTGCTCCCTTTCTCCATATCCCCATCTCTGCCTCCATCTCTGGTGTTACTGCTTCTCTGGATAGAGTCCCACATTCTGCTTGTGCTCTTCTCCCTTGATGGTCCTAATGTCCTCTGTTTCTGGACTGTAAGATTAACTACTCCCCCGTTTTTGTTACAATACTTCTACCTACTACGCAGTTAGTCATGATAACAATTACTCATTATTGAATCATAGGAATCTTATCCCAATCTCTCTTCACCAGACCCATCCAGACAAGATGAAAACTATTCAGTGGGGACTGTATTTTCTCCCGCACATTCTTAAACTTAACTCCCTCTTGAAACCTTGTAAGCCAGTCACTTGGTGCCTTTATCACCCCCTCATTTTAGGTAGCCAATGTCTAACTAAGTTGCCTGTCCCTATCTACCCTGTGTACAGAGGGGATAGCATTGATACTTGATGTGAAGACTCCTTCCCTCTCTGTTGGTAATTAGAATTACTACCTCCATGAGTATAGGTCAGGTTCATCAAATTGTAACAATTTGCCCATGTTTCCTTTATCCAAAAAAAAATTTGGTAATCATTTTCTAGTAAAATTTTGATTATCAAGCCATATAGGCTAAGTCAAATGGGTACTGTCTGCAAGTTTGGGTGTTCTTGTGCATCTTCCCTCACTTCACATTAGCTGGATGCTTCACTCTCAGCTACTGCACCCATGAGTATAGGTCAAGTTCATCAAATTGTAGAAATTTACTCACTTCTTCTTTTGTAGCAAGTTAATGAGAGCCATGGGGAAGTGAAATAGACTTTTACTGTCATTTATAAAAGTAGCTGAATAATGAGTTAGGGATAAATTGGGGACAGTCAGATATACTTTGTGGCAACTGACAAACATCAGCTGGTTTTTTTTTTTTTTTTTTTTCCCCAAAAAAACCTATGTTGCTTCTCTTGTGAGCTGTCATAAAGTTTGACCCAAATCAGGGAGAATCTTCTCAAGCAATAAAAGATTTGCTTGCTGATATGGCAGTTGAAATTGTCTTTGCATTTAAAATTGATATGATCCTAAGAGCTACATGATATCCTTTATGTAATTAGAGACCCTAGGCTTTGCTAGGCTATGAATAAGTTGTCTGAAGTTTGGTGTTGATGTGTGGAGATAGAAGTGTGTGGGCTCATAACAGGGCATTATGTGACTTCCTAGCTTGGTATCTGGGTTGAGTTTTTGACTTTGGACTAATGACAGAAAATTGTAATGGAATCTTGCCATGAAACTGAAAGGGGGAAATAGTAGGTGATAAAGGAGCTCTGGTAGCGTAGTGGTTACGAATGGGGCTGCGAACCTTAAGGTCAGCAGTTCGAAACT